CTTTGTTGTACGTTGTACCGGTCAAATGCCAAGGTTTTGAAAGGTGAGTTGAATGCTGTGGAGGACTCATCTCTAGACTTGTGGCATAAGAGGCTAGGTCACATGAGCGAGAAAGGCCTACAGGTTTTGGCAAAGAAGTCTCACATTCCCTTTGCCAAAGGTACGTCGTTAAACTCTTGTGAGCACTGTTTATTAGGAAAACAAAGAAGAATTAGTTTTTCGATTCCATCTACAAAGAAAGGAAACTTGTTAGATATTGTTTATTCAGATGTGTGTGGTCCCATGGAAGTCGAGTCACTTGGAAGAAATAAATATTTTGTTACTTATATTGATGATGCTTCACGAAGGGTGTGGGTGTATTTGTTGAAATCCAAAGACCAGGTGTTTCAGACATTCCAGGAGTTCCATGCCATGGTGGAGAGGGAAACTGGGAAACCTCTCAAGTGCCTTCGTAGCGACAACGGCGGCGAGTACACATCTCACCAGTTTAGAGAGTATTGTGTAAAACATGGCATACGTCATGAGAAGACAGTTCCTGGAACTCCACAACATAACGGTGTTGCTGAAAGAATGAACCGAACCATCATGGAGAAAGTCAGGTGTATGTTGAGGACTGCAAAGTTATCTAAGCAGTTCTGGGGTGAAGCTGTAAGGACAGCCTGCTATTTGATCAACCGATCTCCATCAGTACCATTAGGTCTTGATGTTCCAGAAAGAGTATGGACTGGTAATGATGTGTCTTACTCTCATCTGAAGGTGTTTGGTTGCAAAGCTTTTGTGCATGTGCCCAAAGAGCAGAGATCGAAGTTAGACTACAAAGCTACACCGTGCATCTTTCTTGGTTATGGCGGTGAAGATTTTGGTTACAGATTATGGGACCCATACCAGAAGAAGTTTATCCGAAGTAGAGACGTGGTCTTTTATGAAGAACAAACAATTGGGGATTCGGATAAAGAGGCACAACCAGATGGCGCAGTCAGAGGAGTTGATCCATTAGCTTCAGATGAAGAAAGTCACGATGACATCCCTGAAGCAACTGCCAATGAAGTGCCTGCAGAATCAGATAATGCTAATCAAGAGGAGCCTGATCAAGATGTGCCAAACCATGAGATTGCTGATCAGGGGGAGCCTAGTCAAGAAGAGCATATTCAAGGAGAACCCAATCAGGGGGAGCCTCCAGCCCTACAAGAGAATGAAGATCAGGTCAGAAGATCCATCAGAAGTCGAAGACCGTCTACCAAGTATTCTTCATCAGAGTATATCATGTTGACTAATTATGGAGAGCCCGAAACATATGAGGAGGCCAGAGCTCATAACGACAGTGACAAATGGATGAAGGCAATGGAGTCGGAGATGGATTCCTTATCAAAGAATGATACCTATGAGCTGGTGGAGCTTCCAAAGGGCAGGAAAGCATTGAAAAAACAAGTGGGTGTTCAAATTGAAAAGAGACGACAACATGACAAGGTACAAGGCTCGTTTGGTTGTCAAAGGTTTTGGTCAAAAGAAAGGAGTTGACTTTGATGAGATTTTCTCACCGGTGGTGAAGATGACTTCTATTCGAGTTATCCTTGGTATGGCAGCAAGCATGGATCTTGAGCTCGAGCAGTTAGATGTTAAAACTGCATTTCTCCACGGCAATTTAGAAGAGGAGATATACATGGAGCAACCCAAAGGCTTTGAAGTCAAAGGTAAAGAAAATTTGGTGTGCAAGCTTAAGAAAAGTTTATATGGTCTTAAGCAGGCTCCGAGACAGTGGAATAAGAAGTTCAACTCATTCATGGTGAGTAATGGGTACAAGAGAACTCATGCTGACTCTTGTGTCTATATCAAACAATTTTCTGGAGGTACATTCATCATCTTATTGCTTTATGTTGATGACATGTTGATTGTCGGACAAGATGCTTCTATGATTAAAAAGCTCAAAGAAGAGTTATCTAAGTCCTTTGACATGAAGGACTTAGGGCCAGCCAAGCAGATTTTGGGCATGGAGATAATTCGTGACAGAAAATCCAAGAAGTTGTGGCTGTCACAAGAAAAGTATGTTGAACGGGTGCTTGAAAGGTTCAACATGAAAGCAGCCAAACCGGTAAGCTCACCTTTAGCCAATCATATCAAGTTGAGCAAAGAGTCGTGTCAAAAAACATATGAAGAAAAGGAGAAAATGGCAGTTGTTCCCTACTCTTCAGCAGTAGGAAGTATCATGTATGCAATGGTGTGCACACGACCAGATATTGCTTATGCAGTAGGTAGGTGTGGTGAGCAGGTTTCTCTCTAATCCAGGGAAGGACCACTGGGAAGCCGTTAAGTGGATTCTCAGATATTTGAAGGGGACTTCTAAGATGTGCTTGTGCTTTGGCGGTTCCAAACCAATCTTGGAAGGATTTACAGATGCTGACATGGGAGGTGACCTGGATGGTAGAAAATCTACGTCTGGGTACTTGTTTACTTTTGCAGGGGGAGCCGTGTCTTGGCAATCCAAGTTACAAAAGTGCATTGCTTTGTCCACAACCGAGGCTGAATACATAGCCGCTACAGAAGCATGCAAGGAGTTGTTGTGGCTGAAGCGGTTTCTCCAAGAGTTGGGTTTGAAGCAAAGTGATTATGGCGTTTATTGTGATAGTCAGAGAGTGCTCTGGATTTGAGCAAGAACACTACATATCATTCACGCACTAAGCACATTGATATTCGTTATCACTGGATTAGAGACGCTATCGAGAACAAGTTGCTACAGCTGAAGAAGATTCATACCGATAATAATTCTTCAGACATGTTGACAAAGGTAGTCACAAAATCAAAGTTGGAATTTTGCATTAAGGCTGCTGGGATGAACTCCAGGTAACTTGGAGTCATGATCGGAATTCCTCCCTCATGGACTGGAGGGGGAGATTGTTGGTATATGGTCCAGCCCATGATCAATGTTCTAGATTATTCTAGTAAGCAAGAGATGAGGCTGGAGCTTGCTAGACAATTCTAGCATGTTATTAAGTTGATGGAAGAAGCTAGAGAGTACTAGCTTCCTTGGTTGCAAATGGAAAGATCTAGAAGCTACAAGTATGTGGCTAGTCTAGATTTTTCTATACTAGAGGTTTGAAGAAGGAACTAGAAACTAGTAGAATGCCAAGCCCTCACCTATAAATATGGGTGTGATGTAACAAAATTAAGAGAGTAGTGAGTAGCAAAGGATCAAGTCCAAAGCTAGAGTTCCACTCCAAGAGTGAGAGTGAGAGTGTTCCACTACACATTGTGTGAGTGAAGTTTAGTGTGATAAAAAGTGTGTGTCCTACTTTCTTGTATCCATCAAGCCTTGTCTTTGGCTTGGTAAGACTACTCTTGTTGTACTCATCTTTTCATATAGTGAAGATTGTTCCTTGTTTGGTGGACGTAGGCATAAATTGCCGAACCACATAAATTTTTGGTGTCCATTTTCTACTTTACTTTGTGCATTCTCTATCTTGTAGTACCGACATTCCTACAAAATCTGCATCACTATATCCTTCTAGGACCAATTGATCATCAATTCTTTTGTAGACTAACATGTGAGATTTAGTCCTCTGAAGATACCTCAATATTCTCTTACATTAAGCTCCCAACCAGTGATGCATATAACTTGTCTTGCATGCCTTCTTTCTCTAAGTTATTTGTAGGACACTGTTGTTTACTCAACTTGTCTCCCTTGGATGTCGGTATTTCTGTAGTTCCATACATCGACATATTGAATCTTCTTATAACCTTCTCTATGTAGCCTCTCTGCGATAGTCCCAATAAACCTCTCCTCATGTCCCTTTTGATCTCAAAATTTATGCCTCATGATAATCAAAAGGTCCATGACTGATGTGGTTCGAGGAGCCTTCACAGATGCTACAAACGCAAAGGATTTTCTCAAGCGCATTGATCAGAAGTACTGAGAGTCACCAAAAACTGAGACAAACTATATCATTAAGTCCATTGAAGAAAAGTACCATGAGTCACCAAAAATTGAAACAGGTAATCTCATGAATTCACTGACAACCATAAGACATGATGGCATAGAGAGTATGCGTGAGTACATTTTAAAAATGGTGGACATCGCTGGAAAACTCAAAGCTCTCGAGGTACTAATCCCTGAAACTTTCTTGGTACATGTGATATTGAATTCTCTGCCTGATAGTTATACACATCTCAAAATGACCTACAATGCATTGCGTGATAAGTGGGATATGAATGAGTTAATTTCAAAATGTATGAGTGAAGAAGAAAGTATGAAAAAGTATCAAAATGAGGAGTTTGAGAAAATTGAGTCTGTGAACTATGTACAAAGTGTCACCAAGGCACATATGCCTTCAAACACCGATGCTACAAGAAAGAATTCTACCAAAAGGGTTCCCTCCCCTAAAAGAAACTCCAAATTTAACAAGCCATCGATTTTCAAGTGTTGTTTTTGTATAAGGCTTGGCTTGCCACATGAAGAAGAAAGGTAAAAACTTGTTTGCTTGTTTTGAGTCTAATTTGCTTGATATGCCTAGTGATGCTTGGTGGCTTGACTCTAACTCTTCTATTCGTGTTACGAACTCATTGCAGAACTTCACAACAAGGACAATTCCAAATAAAGATGAAGTGAAAGTGTCCGTTGGCAATGAAGAAGAGCTAAAGTCAAGGCTATAGGCAACATTAGGCTCAAATTTGTTTTTGGTTTTTGTTTAGAATTGGAAAATGTCATTTATGTACATTCTATGAGAAGGAAGTTGATTTCAATTTCAAAGCTAGTTATGTTGGGATTTTATTTTACTATGAATAACATTGACTTCAACGTTTTTCTTTTATAATTCTTCTCATGTCACTGGTTTACTTATCGATGGAATGTTTAAGTTTAAGTTGAGTTATGACCAAATGATTTTAACGTGGAAAATCCAAATAATAAGTCACGGCAATCTTTAAGTCTTTGGCCATATTTCAAAATGAAGAATGGAACTTTTGGTTAAAAATGAGATTTTGCCTTTATTAAACCTTGATGATTTTGAATTTTGCGTGGCGTGTGTCAAAGAAAAGTTAATAACCAACTTTTGGAAATTATTCATATGGATATTTGTAGTCCTTTTCCTAAGAAAACCATTGAAGGAAACAAGTATTTTATCATATTCATAGATGATTTTTATAGGTTTTGTTATGTATACATAATTTTGGAAAAATCCATGGCACTTGAAGTTTTTGAAAACCAATTGGAAAGGCAAGAAAGATTGTAAGGCAGAGAAGAACAAAGACGTTACTTGATATGGTGAAAAGTATGATATATATTTAATTTAGTGGGTTTTGGGTTTTGGTTGCTTCCTAAGCTTTCAGTAAAGGTGGAAGGAAGCGAGTGACCAAGTGATCAGAGATTCCCCCACTGCGACTTCGTCGTCGCTTATCTCTATAAAATCGTCTCTTTGCGAGCTGGGTGGGTGTAGTTCGTGTCAGCTGATTCCTGCAAGGTGGAAGAAAACCCAGAAACGCAAAAACCCAAATCTTATCTCATCGATCAGGTACATGCAAAATTTCGATTTTTTTTCTTCAGAATTTTGGTTTTGGGTATTTGAAGAAATGGGAAAGATGGGATTTTTGGAATGTGTAGTGACGGAGAGCAGCTGAAACGCGGCCACCGGCGAGATATGGAGGTCGTTTTGGAGAAGAAAGACGCTGGTGATTGGGCTTACAGAGGCGAAGGGGCTGCTAATCTTGTTCTCGCTTACACCGGATCCTCCCCCACTTTTGTATGTTTCACTCTACCCTGAGCTTCAATCCTGCATTTTAATATTTTATTTTATTTTTTAAGGAAAAAGTTGAAAATTTGTAGTAGTTCGTGAAGGGAGTTGGAATTGGGTAATGATTGTTCTTATTGTCATGCTTGGGAAATTTTGTGTTTTTCTGTCTGTAGATTGGTAAAGTAATGCGGTGCAGAAAGCTCGAATTAATGGGTCAAAGGCCTCGAACAGTCCCACGGCATTAACCGCACACGAACTTCTTTTGTGGAAAGACATGGACGACATTGTAGCTACCTCTAACAAAGAACTTGCCAGCCAACTCTATGTGAAGCACATCATGAGCCCTTTATTGGGTTCTGCGTACGTTGATGCTGGGGTATGTGAAAATCTGAGTTTATACATGTACAAATGAATAATGTTTGTTGAACGGAAGCTATGTCAATGTTTTGTCTTTCTTTCCTGGATAATTATGCATAAAGGTTTTAAAACTGTGTCAATATAGTTTGTATGTTTAGTTTTTCTTTGAACTTGTGCATGAATGGTTTAAGAGTTACATATTGTATTGTTCTATAACCTTCAAGTTGAATTTTGGCAGATGCGTGTCCCTGTTTCCAGGGAATTCTTGGAGTCAGTTGAGAAGAACGTTATTAGTCAGCGTCCTGCTTCTCGAGTTGATGCCACTAAAGTTGGCACACAAAGTGATACTGTGCTTCTCATGTCTGATCATTCTCTTTTTTCTCGTGGTAATTAGCATCTCTCTGTGATTTACAACTTTTACATTTAGAACTCACTGTTCTGCACTTGTCTGTCAATCTTAGCAATTCGAGTTAACAGGGTATTCTGTGTGATGGTTTAATTTAGCTCCAAAGTCGGATGGCTTATTTAGCCTATTATCCAGGTTTTCTTTTGCATGCCGGTTTTCCTTGCTTCCACTTGAAATTATCACTTTACTTTTACATTTCGCGGATAAAGTATGGGTTAATATAACACCTGGCACCTACACTACAACTCAGAAAAGCAGGAAGAGAAACCTGGAGATAGCCTTCTGCTTAGCATCATAGGAAATTTGTATCTTATTCAATGTAGACACATCTATTTAAATATTGTCTTGTGGCATATATGATAAGAAATTTGCGTTTTTTTATTGTTTGTTTTAAGTGATAGCTTATTCTGCTTTGTTCTTTTCAGTTACTCAAGAAGTTGAACCCTCTATATCTGTAGAGATAAAGGTACTTGTGTAAATTTTTGTCTCTTTTATTCACTGGAGGAATACCCTTGAATTATAATTGACAATTCCCTTTTCATTTCAATTGTTTCCAAAAATAGCCAAAATGTGGATTTCTCCCATCTTCAAGGTTCATTGATGAAGGAAATTCCATTAAACGAAGCATTACTCGTTTTAGGATGCACCAAGCCCTGAAATTTCATGATGGAGAGGTACTCTTTTAATATGTTATTCTCTTGGTTAACTTCTTTACTAAACCGGAACGTATTCATATGCCCAATGGGAATGCCATCTTATCTGATTCTTAGAACTTCTGTGCACAAATTTCCGCAAAGCGAGTCCGGTTATAGTAATGTTCAATTCTGACTTGGATGCTTCTAAATGTATGTTGCAGATATCAGAATATAGTGAATATGATCCACTCGATCTATTCTCTGGATCCAAGGACAGGATACATAAGGCAATCAAGGATCTCTTCTCAACCCCACAGAATAACTTCCGTGTATTCTTGAATGGTTCTCTAATATTTGGGGGCTTAGGCGGTGGTGCACACAGCACCAATTTGGCAATTGGGGGAGCATTTGAAGATGCACTTAAGGGTGTCATTCAGGGAGGTGATGGCTTGCGCACAAAGAGTTTTTTACAGCTTATTGCTGAAACAGTTCATAAATCTGGAGTGTTGGATCGGCTCCTTGAGGTCCAGAAACTTGATAATCTTGACATCGATGGAGCTATCCATGCGTATTATGACATAATTTCTGAGCCTTGCATGGTATGCAGAGAATTGGGTAAAGAAGAAGTGTCACAGAAATATTTGTCATTGCATTCCATGTCTTTGGATGAAAGCTTGAAGATTGTGAAGGACTTCTTGATTGCTACTAGTGCAAAGGACTGCAGTTTGATGATTAGTTTTAGACCAAGGAAAGATGGGAATCCAGAATCTCCTTATAATAACTTGCATCTAGAATCAACCAACCAATCTTTTGATTACAAGGTAAATATCCCTTTACTACTTTGTTCTGTCTATTACCATACACGTTCTGTCCTCATTTGGAAGCTTAATTGGTTTTAGTTTTTAGTTTTCATTCTTGAAAGGTTTCCTCTAGTAATCTATCCATTTCTTAACGGCTAGAGCACATAAAAATTGTAATCACTACTTTCTCCAAGTTGAAAAGTGAAATTCCATGCGAAAAATCATTCATTATGACACTAATATCTTATTGAGCTGCATTTTTCTAGGTGAATTTCATTGACCTGGATTTGAAACATTTGGGGAAGATGGAAGAATATTATGAGTTGGACAAAAAGATTGTAAGCTGCTACAATCAAATGGTAGAAACTGAGGAGAGACAAAAGAAAACTACAAGCACAGTGGCTCTTAAAACCGCCAATTGAGATTAGTTACAATGCCATGGAGGATACTTTACTTAAAGATTATGAGTAAGTACCAAGTCTTTTTTCTGTAAATTATGGCCATTATTTCTGTATTTCCTTTGTACGCAGTTACTTTAGATTGAGTTATGCATATATAATGCAACTTTGTAATTGTTTAAACATAAACATGGCATGTGGGTTTTGTACTTACATATTGTCACACTGCACTGATAAAGTTAATAGAGATTAATGAGGGAAGAAGAGACGTGATAAAACACCTTGTTGTAAGATGGATGGAAGTTTAATTGGATATTAGGAAAAACTGATGAAATAATTTCTGGGCCCTGCAGGGAAAGTGATGTATCAACTACCTTCAGTGTTTCATCAAAGCCCACATGGCATATTAACTACCCCAGCTAGATTTTCATATTGTGGTACTGAAACAGGAAACCATGCTGTTTCTCTGAATTTTCAAACCAATGGTCTAAGTTCAATTATGCAATTTTTTCGCATAAGCTGTAATCTAATTTCCTTATGTTTTACGTATCAGAGTTTTTTACGACTCTTGCTTCCTGATAGTTTTTATTTTATATATTTATCAAAATTTTCATTATTTGTGCAGATATATTCTTTGATATCCTACAGTTGTGAACAATGGAACCAAACTAATTTATCTCGAATATAAACCGTGGGTTTGCTAAATCATGAGCTGAACAATGAGCTCCTCGGCAGCCTATAGGTCTCTCTCTCTCTCTCTCTCTCTCACTTGTGTGTGTCTGTCTGCTTGCGTGTGTGGATCTAAACCTGTTAAAGTTGATGATTCGAGTACGAACAAGCAGGAATAAGTAGGGTTTGAGAAGTGGGTAAAGTTTACCCATTTAACTGACCCCACTAAAGGTGAATTGAGAAACTGATTGCCGGAATACCTACTAATGAGGTTTTAGCTAAGGATGTCTCCAGAAAATTGATGAAGACCTTGATGAAATTGAGAGTCCACCATAAAACCAATTGGTAATATAGGGAGTAGCTCAAGACCATATAAGCACATAGCAAACTTTGTCCCTCACCGATGTGGGACAACTCTCACATTGGTGAGGGACAAGGTTTACTATGTGCTTATATGATCTTGGGTTACTCCCCATATTGCCAATTGGTTTTATGGTGGACCCTCAATTTCATCATGGTATCAGAGCAAGGTTGTCCACGTGTGAAGCCCAACGGCCACACGCGCTCCACGTCACCCAGTTGTTGTCCACGTGTAGGCTTGAAAATCCGCCACACGTGCGGGGACGTGTTGAGAGTTGTCCCACATTGGTGAGGGACAAGGTTTGCTATGTGCTTATATGATCTTGGGCTACTCCCCATATTGCCAATTGGTTTTATGGTGGAACCCCAATTTCATCATGGTATCAGAGCAAGGTTGTTCACGTGTGAAGCCCAACGGCCACACGCGCTCTATGTCACCCAGTTGTTGTCCACGTGTAGGCTTGAAAATCCGCCACACGTGCGGGGGCGTGTTGAGAGTTGTCCCACATTGGTGAGGGACAAGGTTTACTATGTGCTTATAGGATCTTGGGCTACTCCTCATATTGCCAATTGGTTTTATGGTGGAACCTCAATTTCATCAGACCTGACATTACATAATTTCTTGGGATATAGAAATGGCAATCAGTTTCTCAATTCACCTTCAATGGGGTTAGTTGAATGGGCAAAGCTTGTTAGATTTTATCCGAAATTGTGGTACATTTGCATCATTTAACTTTGATTTCTTTGGAGATAACCTGGCTGGAGATGGTGTTTTTGCCTAGCAAGGGATGTGCTTGTGGCCCCGCACATGTAAATTCTGCACTGATTGCATTTTGGAGGGCGGATGCGACCCAATTAAACACCTCTCTGATCGGCATTTACTTCTAGCCAACTACTGACAGTCATTTTGTACCCGAGGCCCTCAGTGCTGAAGGCATACTCATACTAAATATATAGAGGGCTTAAGAGAACATTTTATATATAGCATCTTTCTGTTCAGTCATTCTTTCGTTATTAGCTTTTTCTAGTTTTGATCTCGATCATTATTGCTTGTAGATTCTTAATCAAGATCATGTCGAAGGTTTTTTTATCTCTCATCCTCCATATATCCAGTCGATTATCTTATTTGCATCATCTGTTTTTGTTTTATCGTCTGCTATTAGTTAGTTGTTGACCTACCATTTTGGTGGAGTCCTTCACTGACACCCTGCAGTAGTTCAGAACTTATCATTTCTGAGCACAGAAGTAGGAATCAAATGTGACCGTTACTTTTTGTTTCTTGCTGCAGAAAACTGTGGTGTCAGTGGAACTGATGTGTCCAAAGTGCAGGAAAAAGGTGATGAAGTTAATTGCAACCGTAGAAGGGGTAGCTTCCATTGTCCTCGACCCGTCAAAAAATACGGTGACGGTAACTGGGGAAGCCGATCCGGTAAAGATTATCAAGAAGGTGAGGAAATTAAGAAAAAATGCTGCGGTTGTGAGTATCGGTCCTCCGCAGGCTGAGAAGAAGGATGAGAAGAAGGATGGGAAGAAGGACGAGAAGAAGGACATTGTTCCATACAACCCAACGCCATGTCAAAGATGTGATGTTTGGTACGTGATTCCTGAACATGGTTACGGTTACTGTTCCGTAATGTAATTACTGTTCCGTGTTGTGCCATTAAATATTACTAATAATATTTGTATTAATTTCATGTTAATACAAATGTTAATTTGGTATTCGGAATAGTTTATGCGGAAGATTGTTGCTTAACTAAGCTGTTTACGTGAACAAATCTTGATTACAAGTTCAGCGGGTGAAAATTTCAAGGTTACAGGGTCGGGCTAGTAGCGTACCATCACACTGACACCGTCTTTTAATTTGAAGATTTTAGAACAAAATGTCTCGGTGGAAGTGGAACTAGGTGTTTTTCTGACATAGATTTCACATATTTTTTTTCCACAAAAATCACTAGGCTATTATTATTCCCCTGGCAGAGGGGGATTGATTGTCGGCTTGACTTTAGGGTATGTAGTAGGTGTTGATGGATGTCGGTCAGAATTCACTCGGCCATATGAAAACCCAATTGTGTTTTGCTGCATTTGACAAAACGATAGTTACCATAAAAAGTCCACCTAACATATTCATCGTAGTGCCTTATGCCCGAGATTCTTAGAAACAATTATGGATGCGGATATACAATACAATAACAACCAAGTTTTATTTCAATACGTGCTTTGAAGGATACTTCTATTTTTTGTATGTACTTAATTGTATAAAAACATGTATTTTAACGACTATGTATAATACATTTCTCATCAAATTTGGAGACACGTTTTTGACACACTTTGACCTATGTTTTTGTGGGGTTCACTCTATAATGTATTTCAACGATACGAGCCGTCTATCTTTTAGGTCTTTACTCAAAGATCATGTCTACCAAAAATCACCCAAATCCAAAATCATATGATCGTTTAGATTAAATTTGGTATTCTTTGCAGAACAGTATTTGTCAATTTTCTTCGCTACAAATGAATATCTTAATGGTTTGGATTGTCTAATTTTTTGCACGGATAATCTATGAATGATAACTTAAAATATTGACTATTCAAATCGTTAAAATACGTTACGAAATTAACTCTACGAAATTGGTGTCAAAAGCGTGTCTTTGAACCTACCTACCTACCTACCTACCTACATACATACATACATACATAATGGAAGTATATAAAAATCAAATCAAAGGTAAGCATCCGTCTTGTCCACAAAATCAATCCCATATGTATATGAAACGAAAGCTCCTTATTTCCTAGGTTTTGGAGGAAAAAGACTGAAATAAATAAATACATCGTCACGTTTTCAATGAAATAAATGAACCTTCCTTCTTCATATTTTTAAATTACACATCCATCCTCTAGCATCTCAATACAATAGGCTATAAAACTTGGGCCTTAAACCACCGGTGATATTTTTGAATTATTTGGATCTCAAGGCCCAATAATTCAAAGCAATACCTAAGGTTGCGAAATACGGCTACGTGGTATACCAATCTACGTGGAGTATTCCCTTGTAGTGCGGAAATACGGTCACGTGGCGTAATTAACACTCTGATAGACAAAACAAATGGCATATTAAAATAATAATGCACAAACAAAAAGTTCGATACAGAAGACCTTAGAGGACGAACTTGGCATGTCGAACTCTGATAGACAATACTTTATACAAACAGAAACAGCAGCAACTCTGGACGACGAACTTGGCATGTCGAATGTATCTCAAATAAACAAGGAAAGCATGACGAAATATACCACGCGCGACTACTCTTGAAGCAGTGATTGTCTTCACCAGCAGCATGACCGGTTTTTCTGTTTCAGGGAACAAGCACAATTCAGTTTCAAGCGCAAAAGAAAATAAAAATAGAAAAGCCGGCATTGATTAAATGTTTCAATTTCAGATGATTCAATTTACGAGCAAATCGTTCGCTAACCTGAAGCTTGGCCTGTTCTTGCCTGTCTATATATTCAAGAAGTTCTTCCTGCCTCATTAATGCCTCGTGCAGAGCCTAATCAGGAAGAAACATACAATCACAGTCGAATCATCAAATGATCGAAAATGCAAGGACAAACATAGATGAATTTTTCTTTTGCTTATCGAGTAATGTATATCTACATTTTCAAGGGTAAAAGCCAAGCAGCATATCCCTACTGTTGCAAAATTGGCACAACGACGTGACTATCAAATCAGGGAAAAATTACCTTTTTTGTTGCAATTAACTCTGATTCTAACGCATCTACACGATAAACAGCAGCATTCAGTAGCTCCACTTTCTCGTAAGGCATCTCCAGAGGCTTTGCTTGCAGCATATCTACCTTCTCCTCAAGCTCACCAAGCTTCTTCAAAGCAGATGAGAGAAGGTTTTCCCTGGATAACCCCGGTGCGGGTGATGGGGGCCGGAATTCCTCCACGGCAGTTGACTCATCGGTTAGGTCAGGAATGTTGTGGGCAGAATCAGAAACAGAGTTTTGGAGTTTCTTAGTTGCCCGCAGTGAAAAAGATTGGATTAGCGAAACGAGGGTTACAAAGAATGCCACAAGCATAGTCCAGATATTAGCAAGCATTGCATCTGTTGTTTTCCCCACAGATTGTGGAGAAGATGCCCCTGCGATGTATTCCAATTGATCAATTAAATCAACTATGATTTTGTAACAAAATAATATTAACTTTAACTCTAGTAGTAGCATGGGGTTTGTAAACATTATCTCTGCTAACTATAAAACAAGTTGTAATTACACGGTAAGGTAGAAGTGTAACTAGACTTTCCAACCTCCAGAAGCAAGCAGTGCCTGTTGTAATGCTGGTTTCTTCCATCCCATATCGACAGCCTTGTCAACCATGGGAACCTGTTCATCGTACTCCAACAAGGCAGTAGCACTGCTTGCTTTACCAACTACCCTAGCCTATAACAGCATTGAAGCATATCAAGTATGAGTTCAAAATGTCAATGAACTGAGATGACACTTTATAGCAGAATATATGTGTGTTCAGTAAGGCCAATGCCATACAAAAATAGAAAGATTGGTTCTTCAGTTGCATATGTTGCTAATCATTCTCAAATAACAGAAGTTTGTCAAACACAACACTTACTTCTTCACAAACAGGAGTCAACTTAGGTTGTAAGTAGTTCCTAGTTGCTTTAGGTGAACCCATTTCTTCCACTTCAGATCCAGACTCTGCGGTAGAAGTATCACTACTTCTGATCTGAGAAAAACTTTGATTTAATTCCAAAAATACTATACACAAAAAAAGGGCTTCTTATGTAGACACAGCATGATGGTCTAACAGTCCATACCATAGGATTGTGTGGCTTATCAAAAGCAATTATCCCCCCTTCACTGTTTGAAACTGTAACTATTTGTCTGAAACATTGTGTTTCACCATTAAGTACCATCTGCAAGCAAAGAACATAATTTTCAAGCCATACAATAGTACGGTTGCAAGCAGAACAAAGAAGAGGAAGTTGTGCAAAAATAACAACCCATCTAACACAACCTTCAGTATGTTTGGGTCATTCCATGGCCCTTTATCAGAGGAAATACAACCTCCCTGATCGGAACAGTTACAGCTACCGCCCATAAATTCTGGCAACTCACTGAATAAACCAAAATGTTTCCACAGTTAATAGTTATGAAAACAGAATGATAACCAACTCATGGACCCACCAAAAAATAGAGAGCATCAATCACCTTGCATCGATTATTTCAAGCAATTTGCTCTGGTACTTGTTACCCAGAACCTGCAAAAATATAACAATATCAGTTGACCCCATTGATATCTTCAGTCAATGGTAACATCAAACCTTGGGTGTATCATTAACCATACATGAATTTTGCTGGTTGTTCTGGCATCAAGGAATGCTTTAACTGTAGGCCAGAGCACCTTCCTAAAAGCATAACTAGCATTGATTATTAACATTCGGCAAAGCGTCTGCACAGATGAAATTTAATATTAGAAGATATGCTTCATATGGATTTAAATAGAATCGCCACACACACTGAAAGTGATCAATTATTGAAAGGATATATAAAGAGTCCTCATGCCTCAGGATAGTTGTCACTATCAATCTTCTGCAGCCGCTCTGTGAGATCTCGTGCAGACTTGGTAAAGTTTTTAAGACCCTGAAAGAAGCGACATGGAAATGTTAAAGTAGCATTTTTATATTTTTTGCAAAACAATAAAAATTCAACGAACACTTGAGAAGGAGTATCATGTCAAGTGAAAGCATACCACGCCTTGAACATCTAAAATTGTTGTACTTGAATCTATATGTCTCTTTGCAGCAATAGAGCAGGCAGGAAACTTAATGGCAAAACTCCTTTCATACTCCTGCACATGGTATCTCACATACCGTTCCAAAGAAGTCACTTGCATAAGCCTGTTGGGATCAACTTTCCCCAACCTTTCAAAGTAAACAGGTCTTCCATCCTTGTCAACACCATGATAAAACTGAGGGTAGTGCTTTCGAACTTCATTCAACTCACTGAACTCAAAATCCTAGAAGAAACAAGGATGTGAGTTTTATTTCAGCCGATGGGTGGCATATCAACAACATTAATCATTTTTCTAAATATGCATTGCAGGGCAAGAAAATGTAAGCAGAATTGTTCGGTAAATTTACCTCCAAAATTGTATCAGTACCAAAATCTTTCCTCCACTGAATCATATTGGCCCACATGTGCTTTGATTTCTCGATATCGAACTTCCTTGCTGTCAAAAATCTGCAACAAATAACTTCTCATTAAATCTCAAAAGGAAACAGCAAAATCAAACTTGCCATATCGAATCTTGTTCGCAAGAAAATAAAAAAGATTTCTGGGAAAATTAGCAACCTCAACAACATATGATAGTCATCATGTCTTGGAGGCAGCAAGTCTTCCGAGATAAGGGCCTGCCGAAATGCGTCAACAGCTCGTAGCTCCTCGGCGTCCCTTACATCCTCAATCGAAACAGAAGTGGACAGCCTACAACTACTACCACCACCACTCTTCCTCCTCTTCTTCTTGAGGGAACGTCTGAATTTGGTAGACGCATTAAGTGCTTTCTTCTTCAAATTCCTACCAATTCCAGACCTCCTCTCCTCCTCCGAGTTCTCAAAATCCGACTTCCTTTCCCTCCTTTCGTCGTGGCCAGAGAACCCCTCAAAACCTAATCAAACGTCAACAAAACTACCATCGTCAAGCCCTAATGCTATCATCAAAGATAGAATTTCAAACGCCCCAATCCAAAACTCTAGAACCAGCACAATTAGCACAATCTAAATTTCATAAAATTAAAGAAAATAGGAAGCAATTAACGAACAGAAGAAGAGATAGGAGTCCGTCAAAGAAGGCGGGAACTCACAAGGCCTGGCGAATCGATCGAGAGGTCCGGACATGGCGGCGTTCCGAGAGCTGCCGAAACCGGCGGCCGATGCAGACGAGAGACTTCCTCTTCCAAATTTCCGATTCTTGAAGTGAGAAGGCGTCTCCGAGCTAGACGAAGGTTCGGAGTGAGACAGAGACTGGAGCCACTGGAGGAGGCGAATTTAAGATAGAATTTCCGTAATCATGATTAACGTGGGATTTAATTTTAATCAGGTTATAATCTGGTTTGATTAAATGACGGCGATTGGAGAACGCCTCACGGCCACGGGAAAACGTCGGTAACGGATAAACTATCTGGTAGAGTGTGCCGTTTCGGAAGTCTTAAATACGCGCCACTTTAATCCAACTGGAGGAGACTGCCACGTCGGCATAAAGCGCGCCGGACTTGGCGGGAATTTAACAACGGCGCTACGACCGTCTCTTTCTTTTGGCGGTTTCGGTGTTGTTTGGGAAACAGCAATAATTTTACCGTGGAGAAAATAGTCATGATGAGTCATGAGATTGGTAAATTTGGTAGAGAAAACAGCAGAAATCATGACGCGTGTTGCTGAATAAAAGAATATGGTCTTCCATTTTTAGGCCAAAATCATCCCCAATTAAATTTCTTGCGTTTTACGTTTCCTTTTTGGTAAAGTGATATTCGGAGCAACTTTAATTTACGATCGATGACAGTAATTGAACCCACCACTCGGCCGAACTAGCCTGCCGACACTGTTATATGGATGCATGACGTGATTACATGATTTTTGATAACTTGACATGAACGGATTTACCACCAAACGACATTCTAATTCAATAATACAATATCATATCTGAGTTTATCTCCGCATTATTAGCCTGAAACCCATATTGTAGCAAAACCCGTTACCATAGCATGAAATATTGACAAGTTCACTACCGTATAGCGTCTCGATGCACTATAAAGCAACATGAATAACCGTGTATTAGTGAAATCGTTCAATGCAACTCCTTGCATGCATCTGCATTGCAGAAATCAAGCCATACGTTGGATGGTCTTGAACTTTTAAGTGAGAAACATTACAAGCGCTTGGACCAAAATGGTTTAAGTTGGCATGGAATCACACATGCCATCATCAATAAGGATTCTAAATTAAGTGGCGGAATAATTTGCAGAAACCAACAAGACCCATTACATTGCGAGTAAGTTTATCTATAGTCTACATATAATACATATAATTATTTACTATATTCACAAGCTTTTTACATCATATATATATATATAAGAAGAGCAGAGATGCATGGCGGATTGCGGGTGCAGCCGATGAGCTTATCAAACTTCCAAGAATGCTGTCTGTACAATTTTAAATCCCTACGGGCGATTCTGAAACAAAACTGAAGACGTCAATTCGGCTTGCAGTTACAGTTGCACTCAAAATTTCGACTAGTTTGGGGACAATGGCAGGCTTCTTACCTGTCATGCCAAGTTCTTTCTAGCACGAAGTTGGAGGAGCTTGTCCCTCCACTGAGCTGGAAGTGAGCATGAAAATGTATATGTAAGATTCAAAAGCTCCAACAGCTTTGATACAAACACAAACAACAACAAATGAAAGAGCACCAACAATCACAGAACTTTGATGGGCGAAAAAAATACTATACGGACGAAACATATTTACCAGCATCTCTATAGCGTTCCTCAACTGCAGCAATAAGCATGTTGCGCACGAGATTAAACTCCTTCGTTTCAACACATGGTTGACCATTTGGCCTGAAACCATATAAGTTTCAATTAACTCTATTTTACTGAATGACAAATTTAGAGGTCGGTTCTACCTTGCTCAGATTGAAATACGCATAAATTCAAACACCTATCTACATGAATTTCTGAAAGACTGAACATGCATTTAAGTTCAACCTAGACAACCAATTACATCATCTGATCAGAGTCAGATTTCATTCCCTGAACAACTCACCTGCTCCAAGACCAACCGTTACATTATCTGATCAGTCGGCTTACATTCAACTCAGGAACAATCTCTTCGAGATTGAAAATAAGACCCATGTCTAAGAGATTCAATACTTACCGATCCAGTTCAGTAAATAATAATCCATCTGAAGCAGGGCCCTGAGTTGAGAACTTTCCAGATTCGATAACTCTCATTCCATCACTGTATGCCAGGTACTTGTTGACCTGTATGGGAACCTGCACAGAACGTGGAAAGAATACAGTTGATCACAAAACAGGTATTAAGCATTTAAGCCCGTCTACCCTTGTAGATTACTATATATATTCCCACATTTCTAAAAGTTCAAAGAGTTTTAGCAGGAATTTTAACCAATCTACTTCTACGGATTCAAAAAGTAGATCTTAAGAGCCTAGTATGTACCTTGCATCGTACAGCAATGTTGATGGCATCTGAAGGCCGAAGGTCGAAGCTGACACATTCTGTCTCACTACCTACCTGTGATCACTTCTAACACAGTGTCACTATACACTAACCAAGCAACTTCAGAATTTGATTTTCCAGAAGTAATTCAGTCCCTTCCCGCTTTCCCCCACCCCAAATGACAATAAAAGAATGGTAACAATAAAATTAGGGAAGTGTTATTGGCACTCCAAAAATCTCATTCTACACTCCTCACAAGTGTATTTTTCTTTCCAAATATAGAAAGTTTGGAGTGTAGAATGAGATTTTTAGAGTGCCAATAACAATTTCCTAAAATAAAAAATTCCCTAAAATTAACTATAATAACAAAAATTAAGCCTTATGAAGTGTGAAGGTATATGCCTTTCTGAGGTATAACTGAGCAAAATACGCCTCATGCACTCTCTTGGTGACTCTGACAAGTCGGACCTGCAGGGATCGAAAACAAACAAAAACAATCAAGGATCACGAAGAATGTACATTAATGAACAAGCATTGTCATATTGTACAAGGAGGAGGACACAGACATACCTCATAACCCATCTTGTCAATCATCTCCCTCACCACTTGATACATAGTTGGCCTAGCCTGCAAACCAAATACCAAAAATTTATAGATTTTTAGAATATTCCTACATTAACAAATATATTGGCAAGGCCTAATTTTGCCCACTCGACGACCGCAGAAAAACAAAATCTTAATTCAAATGGAAGGACAATGTAGAAAGAAACCATACAATAGGAACATTGCGGACCGCTGCCATGAGCAACACACTAGGCATCTCCACTGCAATCAAAGGCAAACCCGAATTCAAATAACTTTCTAAGGTAAATTTCAAAATAGAAAACTTGTAATGTTGGAAATTATTAGTTCAGGATAACATACAAACAATTATTGGGAGAAGAAGACCGGTCCCGTCTTCCATCTTCAATACAATTGCAGGATGCGGAGCATAATCGGGGAGATGGCCCCCCTGAGGATTGTTATGGACACACCTCATGTGCCTACCATCCCGCATTTTGATCATGAATCCATCAATTCCGCTCTTCACCTCGACTACACCAAAAACCAAACGCAGAAACTTATTACTCAACCGTTCACAGCATACATCAAATATACAAGTAGTTTTACAAAACTGTAATCATTCAGTCAGGTGCTTCAGATCATTGGCATTTCACTTATAAAGATTCATAATTCAATTGTAAGACGGAGTTAACGGTTTACATAAATGAGGAAACTGATCAATAGCGTACCGGCTTCGAGTACGCTAGAGTTAACATAATCTTCATCATTTTCATTGAAATTCTCCGCCATGCTTCCGTTGCCATCCGACGACGAACTGAAAATGCAATGCACTCTTGAGCATTTTCTAGCATTTCGAGAGCGAGAAGAAAAACCCGCCTTCGTGATGCTGCCGCTGATCCCTCTGAATCCAAGCCTAGCCTTCACCAAAGGGCCTACCACAGGCAGAGTGTCAAACCCCGATTGTTTTGCGCGAACGGTGGGGCAAATTACCGGCCCTTGCAAAGTCGCCATCATATACCTTCTCCAAAATCCAACACAACAAACAAATTAAAGATATGCTGTTTGGTTGCTGAGAAAATATATAAAAATATTGGAAATTTTACGTTTGATTAGTGTATGATTTCATAATTAGATCATGTTTTCGTAATTAAATCATGATTTAGTAAAGTAAAATGGTAAAAACTAAATTAAAAATCCAGTCTCTCACTAACTCTATTTTAAATTTCTAACACCTCGTAGTCAGCTCGAAGTGTTAGAGATAATTATCAATCACAAATAACCAGACCAGAACAAAAAAATCAGACCTTTTTTTTTTGTAAATAAAAAAGATCAGACCTTTTTAATCACCGATCAAAGCTTTCTTAGCCGTCCGTTTTCCGGAACTCGTCTTCACCGATTCTCCACGGAGTTTCAAGGATTCCGAAATCCAGAAATTAAACTCCTGAAATTAACAAAGATCTGAATCCAGAAAAAAAAATTGCGATCGAATGATCCGGAGAAAAACAGAGAAATGATCAGTGGAGTGAGAGGAAGGCTTGTGGATGAAGAAACTGGAGATTATTAGGGTTGCAGAAAATAGGAGGAATAATTGGAGAAAAAATAGGGAGAAGGAGGATCGCAGAAAAAGGAAGGGCGAGAAAGATAAGAGATTTTTCTTCCTCCGTATAATAATTGTCTTTATGAAGAAGAAAAGTACTTGTAGTGCTTGAGGACAACATGAATCAAGTATGTTTTTTTTAAATTACGGTTCTGTCCTTGTGGGTTTGAGCTGGTTTGTCAACTCTAACGCAATGTTGGCAACATTTTCATCTAAAGAGAAATTTTTATTATGCTTCAGTGTACCGAAAAAATAGTTAATTTACAACAAGAAACCAAATCTAACGAGTTAAAGCATCTCAAGAAATTCTTAAATAAAATAAAATAAAATAAAAATTTAACGACAAAAGATTCATCATCAAGTATATTTAACACACTGATGCATTTTAAAAACTTCTTCTTGAACTTTTTCCTCCTACTTTCTTATGATCGTTTTTATAATTTTGGTTTTGTCGAGTGATGATCCAAATTGTCACTTTTGTAGGTCATCTCTAGAGGTTAATTTTGCAAAATATCGGTGATGTTTGACAATTTAATTAATTGTTGTGGCTTCAATTTTAATTAATAAGTTGGTAGCAGTTTACTAAATGAGGAAAGGGTATTTACGACTTTCGAGCGGAGTGGATAATACCTGTCTGACTGAAAGTAGCGGCTGCGCGCGTAGAATGACATAAATGCATGGTCTGAGGTGCAACACTGCCGGCGGTCGACGAGATCAAGATTCCTGCATGACTGCCACGTGTGTTCATTTTTCAGGGGTGATCTGGATAAGGCTCTTTGTTTTGAAATTTTTTTCAATGTGATCAGAACACGTGTGGTATATCACGTGTTTTTATAAAAATAGCGAGAAATTTTATTTTTTAGGTTATTAATTTTTTAACACATATCTCCTTATTTGTATAATAATACCTGATATATCACTCTATGTATTGATCAAACTGAAAAATCTCCTCTTTATCATACGCTATTTCTCCCTCAAAAATATCAAATTCTGTTTTCTTTTTCCCCCGAAAATATCAGTTATATTTCCTTTTTCTTTTTCCCTTTTTACGTAATACTGATACGATTTTCCTTTTTTGGATATAAAAATGGCAACAAATGTCACATACCAAATATTTGATGAGACCACTAACATAAATAGAAAATATGATGTTCCTAATTAATTATTCCATATAAACGGTGGTTTTGTCATCCTAGAGTTGCAACAAATGGCAAAAGTAATAGCAAAATTATAATGTGTTATCATAAATGATTCGACCATCTCAAATTCTTTCATCACCATCAAGCAGTGGAGAAATTTTTTCAATGTGTTGAGACAAGGTTTGGTATACTAAATATTAAAATATAAGATCATCTTCAAATGAGATGTCAAATAGGATTAAAAGATATTTAAGTGTTCTTCAATGAATATGCCATATATGATGTGGCACGTGAGACATTTGATTCCTTACTTTCTAGCTGCATTTTTTTACAATGAACAAAGAAAGAGTCAAATATATTTAATTTAATTTTTAATGCATGGGTTCAAATATATTTAATTTAATTTTTAATGCATGGGTCCCATTAACAACCAATAGAATAAAAACTAAAACTAATTTTGATTATTTTTTAATAATTAATGTAACTCTAGGTCCAATAAAATAATAAAATAAATATTTGTCACATCCATTGGAAAAGAAGAGAATTCAGCACTTGTATTTAATTTGCCACATCAGCCATCAAATAAAATTTTGACATACTATATTTGACATCTCCTTTGGAGATGCTCTATGTGGTTAAATTTTTTTTTCAAGTATTTAACCACTTAACTATGACGCTGGTTTACCAAGCTGTGCTCTCTACACTTTGAAAAATATCTCCAAGTGATGATAATATTGACTATCCTACTTATTATTATGGAATGAATTAAATTTTAATATTTGTATCTATCTACAACACTAATTTAAAATTTAAATTTATCTAATAATAATGAATACAATGGTGAGCAAAGAATTTCATGTGGTTTATTTTATTGAGTTTGTTTGAATGGTTTAAGATTTTTTTTTTAATATTATGAGAATATTTTCGTCGCCGACAAGGGGATCAAATATGAATAAAGGCATGTTAAAATTGTTGGAATTGATTAACGTTTAAAAGTTTCGGTAGCTTATTGTGAAACCAAATTCACTTATATTTTTTAGTGTAAATAATGTTTTTTTTTTTAAATTGATGGTATATAAATAACAAGAAGAAAAAAAAATTGGCATAGTCAATAAAAGCTGGCAGTTCGTTTTGACGTGGCGTCATGGCAAAAACCCTTTAATTAATTACAGTGTGCTGCTGGTGTGCTCATGGTTTTTATCATATAATTATATTAAAATCTTTGTCCGTGTCAATGGAATCGGGTGGGCTTCACCTTCTAGTTTCAAAACAAAGCTATTATAATAAATAAAGAAATAAATAATAACAAAAACCCATTTTAATATTGGCAGAATTTCAGGAGTCGCATATTTTAAATATGAAAATGTTATTAAATTAGGGAATTGTTATTAGAACTTCAAAATTTTCATTATACCCTTCTAACTTTCTATATTTAGAAAGAAAAATACACTTGTGAGGAGTGTATAATAAAATTTTTGAAGTACCAATAACATTTCCCTTAAATTAATAGGGAATAAAAGAGACAACTTACCAGGAAAATATTGTTGTACACAAGTATTAGTTTAATAATAACGATTAATTAAGAGGCAACTTACGCCATTAAATAATTGATCCGCTAAAACGTATGAATTGTGTTTTCTTTTTGTTCACGACAAGACAGAAAACCTTAAAAAAAAAAATTACGTCATAATATGACAAGTAGAGATGGCGAATCAACCCATGAGATTGTTAATAGATTAATTTGATTTCATATTACACTATTATCACTTCTATGAATCTCAAATCTATATTATAGTAATATTAAATTAAACAAATTCTAAGAAGTTCATATTAACAACTCAATAAATTAATTTGTCACTCTAATCACAAGAATTAGGAACTCCAACTATATCAGCAACCATAAGACGTTCGCAGATGGAGAAACTTTTTATTATGACCGGAACACGGATGGTATATCATGTATTTTTTAAGTTATTAACTTTTTAACACATATATCCCACCATTTATATAATAACACGTTATGTACCACTTTGTGTTATGGTCACATTGAAAAATCTCTCTCATAGATGAAGCGTTTGCTCAAAAAGTATTGGACCTAAATTGTGTGGCTTTTTTCAATATCTGAAAACTAACAGATAAATATTTGTATGAAATGTTAAAATGTCCAACGTCCGTTGGAATTTGGATATCGTAAAATAATAGAAGGCTAGCTGGAATTGATTGAAGAGGCTGCTCGCAAACTGACAAACTATCGGCCTCTCATTTGAAAGTAGATTTGTTTTCTTCTTAGAATTCAAATATGACAACCAATATATACTCCTACCACAATCTTACTAGTGTTACGAGTCCGTAGATAATAAGTTTGATATTAATTATTATAGTGCTAATAAGAATTTTGAGAGAAAAACCAAATATTAAGAGAAAATGCTATAGTGATCATCACTTACTATTATGATAATAGTAATATTTATCTCCACTTGTAAATAAAAGCTCTTAGGTTTGATTCTTACCAAATGCGAATTTAAGCCAAATTATGATGAATAGCCTTTTATGAAGTATAACCCAATTTGCCAACCGAAGTATTAAAAAAATACTATAAAGATAATCTACTTGAATCATTATAGACCATAATATCGTTTACTAAAAAAAAATAGTAAATGATTTATGCATCACATATATCAAGAATATTAAAATTGGGTAAAGAGGTGGAAACATATAAAATGGGTTGGGCGGCTTTGATGGACAAACCTGGAGCCCGAAACCTGAACGAAGCTTTGGGGCCTAATTGATGCTACCAAGTACCAAGGATTGAAGTAGAATATTAACTTTTATTATTTTATTAATGAAACTGAAATAAAATATTATTTTGAGCATCAATAAATTGCATACATAAATTATGTGAAACAAGGTCCCCTAAGGCCGAGGAGGCATGATCTATAAATGGTACACATAAATTGTCAATGGATCAAACTTGGTCCATCCATGAAAGCTTAAGGCGAGGACCAAATTTGCTCCATAAAACTAAGAAGGGATCGAAGATTTTATTTTTATCCGGCTTCAAGGAGGAAAATGACTTCCGCACACCTTTTCTTCTCTTCTGCATGCCTTTGTTTTATTCCTTAATTCTTTTTTGGTTTATGGAATCCGTTGCCACAAATAAACGAAGGTACTGTGTAAGGAAAAAAATGCGCGTAAATCACTTATCGAAAAGAATAGCCAAGTATTTAGTTGACCAAGACTTTTAACTTGATTATATGATATTGACCATATGTAATCATACTCATTAATTTAAGTCCCTCCACCAAAGTTAGGAGTTGGCCAAAGGCTACCACCGCCATTGCCGCCACCACCGCCGACGTCACCAGTCACATAAGACATGCATGACAGTGGCACGAGGCAGAGCCCTCTACTTATGAGATCTCGCTTTGTCTCTCCATTTCCATTGATCTCCGCCATGCCCTAATCATCATTACTAATTAGTAGGATGTCATATAATATCTAAACTAAATTATGAACACAAATATACAATTATCTAGCACTGAAATATATTGTATAACAATTTTTCACAAAAAAAATGCGTGTACGGCAAAAGACTAAAAGTCTAAAGAAAAACAAAAAAATCTTCTAAAACAAAAATTAAAACTAGTTTCCAACCATTTTTAGGCATTTTAATCAGGGTTGGTGTATGGGATTAATCATGAGATTAGACTCACATGAACTCCAAATTATAAAGAAAACAATAATGCTATTCTTACTATATTTTTGTACCACAATTGTATACCACCTTATGTGGTATCTGATATGGACAGCCACATCATCTAAATTAATTTGCATTTAATTTCAAAATGTTAATCAATAAAAAAATTGTTAATTAAATGATGATTGTGGTATACGAGGAGTCTCCTTCTTCCACCTAAGATTATTTAAGTGTTTTAATTAATAAAAAAATTGAAATTAAATGATGTAGCATGATAAATAAATATAGTATAAAATTATGGTAAGAATAGCATTGCTTTAAAGAAAACCCTAACTACTTACCCCTTGTAATATTGTTTTAGAGGTCTTATTGCGTGATGACTTCATGTATGGGACGCTTAATGTCTGCACAAAACGTGTAAAATTAAAAGAAAGAAACATTACAAATAGGAATTAATTTGTTTCAATAATCGCACTTTCTTTCCTTTCCTTTCCTTTCCCTTTCTTTATCATGATTCAATCCGTGACATATACCAATCAGGCATGCAGAGTAATACTGTGAATGTCGTGATTAGTGAATGACAAAACATGATCTTTAATTAGATCCTAAATCCAAATTAAGATAAGATTAAGTCAGACACGAAAGGAGGAATATATTTCGAGTGACTAAAAGTTGTTTCATTTTTTGTTCTTTTAGAAGATTGATGAGACCCATTTATTTTCTTCTTGATATCATGTTTAGTTCAATCCAAGTAGCCACATGGGCATGAAAAAGACCAGACCAGAGACAAGACCATTTGTGTACTGCTACTGCATGATTAATTTGCAAGACAATATGGATCGCTCATACATACATACATATACATATACATACTTACACACACACACACACATATACAGGTCCTTTATGCAAAAATATTTCTATTTTTTGAAAAAAACTGGGATTAGGTGTAGGGTTTACTTCACATCGAATTTCAACGATCTGAACCATCTATTTTGTAGTCTCGATCCATAAATCATCCTTGCAAAAATTCAATTCAATCCGAGACCATTTGCCTATTTAATCATCAAGATCAAATTTCATTATTTGTTATTTAACAAAGTATTCGTTCCTTTATTTGAATCCAATTAGATGTCTTAAATATTTCCAATTTGGCTAATATTTTGTAAGGATGATCTATGATGTACAACTTAAAAAATAGAGGGTCTGGATCGTTAAAGTTTGATATGATCTGGACCCCACAACTAATCCTCATTTTTATAAAAAAAAAAAGAGGGATCCCTTCCCTTAAAGGCTCTTTCTCTCTCTCTCTCTCTCTCTACGTGTGTGTGTGTATATATATATATCTATATATGTATGTATATGTATGTATGTATGTAGAAAACTTCCAAGAAGAAGAGCCAATTTTACATATACTACCTATGTATATTCTTCTTGATATGTTTATATGTATCGATCTATATATACTACCTATTAATAGAACACTATGTCACTCAAAAATCAAGGAAAATGTTATTATACTTTTCATGCATAATTGAATGAAAACATTAAAAAAGAAAAATCTTAGGTATTAAAGTAATTTCGCCCAATTTTTTTTTGATGTTTTTTCTCTTTCCACACTCACATGTCAATAAAACATGTCATTGTAGTATAGTGGTAAATATTATAGTTTTTTTTTCTTTTTAAAATTTTTATGTTACACACACATAATATATATATGAGCTCCATCTAGTATTATATAAGATACGTCTCGGAAAAGTTCACTTAAAGAAGAGAGATCATAAAGCTTCAACTTTTAAAAGAATGCCAAAAATTAAGAAACCCTAGCGGCTAGGGTTATATATGCATGTACCATACGTACGAAGAACTTAAACGTATATACTTAGTACAGTTGGGATAATTAAAGCATATTAATCAAACCTTAATTAAGATTAAATAAAACACACAAGTACGTACCTCGACCTGGTTTTGAAGGAATTTGATGTATCCGATAGCCTCCATTAGTACAGATGCTGTGTCTGTCTGCAGTAAAATGGTATAGATTTGCTAATTAAGTCCTGTACTTATATAAACAGAGAAAACAAAGGTTTTTCTTTTTCATTGTATTTACAGAATAAATTACCTTGCCGAAAGGTGCTACCAATTGCTGAAGAGCTGCGATTCTATCTCCTAATTTTTCCTTCCTAACCTGTATTATAAAGCAAATAATTTCCAGGTTTTGTTTGTTTTTCGCAAAAAAAAAAAATCTCAGCTTTAGAAGTTGGCTACCATAACGATGAATAATATTACCTTAAAGGGTGGGCATGAATTGCGCGACTCTAATCGCGATTTCTTTGGTGCAGCTGCTTGAGTTGCTTTTGTCTCAATCAAACTGCCGGGTCTCTTCACTTCTGTCATTTCATTGTCGAAAGACGATACCTAATTTGAAAATTTTAAATTAATTAAGAGTAAAGACTGTTATAATCAGATGTTAGTTGATCACCAAAACCAGTCTCTGAAAGAAAGAAAGAAAAGCCTTCTGATAAAGAAGATGCACACATTGTATAAAGTTGAAGCTACCCCCCAATGTTACAAAAAGGAGAGGTGCTTAAATGTTCTTTTGGTGCCATAAGAAAATAAAGATGTTTAGAAAAAAAGTGTTTTAACTTTTGGATTCTGCTTTATTTGTTTAGCAAATTATTACAAGGTTGCTTCACTACATGTATAACAATCCCATAAGACTAACATATCAGTTTTAAGGTTTTAACTTAGGGTAACAGTTAATGTCTCACTAGCATAATAACAACTATTTTAATAATATAAGAAAAGACAAGATAGAATGTTATGTGTGAACGTTATTACATTACAAAAACAACATTTGATTAAAGGGTACTATTAGTACCTTTGTTTTTAATAGTACTGTAGATTAACAATAAAAAATATCTTTAATTATCGAATTAGCTGGGAAGGTTTAAGTAGGGTAATAGTTAGTCGCTGCTAAAAAGAATTAGAAGAAGAATACCTTTCCTTGGTGCATCTGTTCAAGAGTACCAAACGAGTTATGCCTTCCATTGTATAAGCCAAGAGTATCATGTGAATTAGTAGGCGTAGTACTAAAACTACTACCATCCCCAGTACTAAATCCTGCAGAAGCACCTAAGAGATCCATGGCCTGCAATTTCATGTCCAAGCTAGAGCTCGAGAGTGTAGACGAAGATAACGACCGGTTCAAGTTGGAAACGTTGATGCTCGGATAGATTTGGCTGAAGTGCCCGGCTGATCTGCTAGGCATCGCCAACGGCACACCTCCCATTAGATTAGAGTTGTGGAGTAGATGATGATGATCATTTGAGTAAAATTGATGGTGATCTCTAGCTGATGGTGGAATTTGATGATGATGAGAATTAATAGTACTATTCATTTGGCATCTAGAAGACAATGTCTTGAGCAAGAGCTTCTCACTGAGATCATTCATGATCATTTGATCTTTTTGCTCATTTTTCATGAATTGGAAATATTGGTCATGATCAATGCTACTGCTCGACGTGGCCGCGGTTAGCATTTCTGTTAATTTTGGGAAGGAACTGTGATGATCTAATGAGGATGATGATGAGAGCTCTTCCTTAATTTTAACAAGGTCATGGGCAGATTGATGATCACTAGTAATATTAGTAAGCCAGTGAAAACCCAAGTCCGGAACCAGGGAACTGTTGAGGGTGTCCAAGCTTGAATTTGGTAATGAGTTACCACTACTGCTCCTGCAACATTTAATTAACGTTATCATGAGAAACTTAAGTAAAACGAAAAGGAAAAATCCCGAAATTAAGTTTCTTCTGCATTTGTTAACTGATGTAGTACGATGAATTTATAATTATAGAGGCCGAACATAAAGTTTTCCATAAAATATATTGGTGCAAGAGCGATGAGATCAATTAATGTGTACATTTCATCTATAGTAAATAGGTTTTTTGAGAATTAAAATCAAATATTCCATGATAGAAAAAGCTTCATAAAGAACCTATAAACTAAGCAAGCAAATTCGAGTTCTAACCATGTACTTCCTCACTGATATGAACATCAAATACCAAAAAAGGAAAAGGATGAAAAGAAAGATTCCAGCTTCTCAAAAAATTTCCTTTACTAATATGGTACTATGTATGAGGTATATATGAACAAACAGATGTTCACTAACTAAATATTTAAATTTCTGAGAGAGAGAGAGAGAGAGAGAGAGGAAAGAGAGACTTACAAAGTGGTAGTAGGGGTCCAAGCAGGCTTGGTTCCAACTGCATAGCAAGATGGGGTAGTAGCTGCTAAAGAAGAAGACCTAACAAGATTCTCTTGGAGCTGATGATGTTGTTGGTGATGGAAATTTGCAGACTCCATAGTTAATGATATAATTGTTTTTTTGTTTTTTTTTTGAAAAAGCTTGAAAATCCCAAGATAAGCAGTAATAAATTAAACCTAATTATAGCTAATTAGCTCCAAGAATCTATCACTCAATTCGAAGAAAGAAAACCCAGTTATTCAGGTGTGACACCCACATACCTTGCTCGGTTTGCTTTTAGCTAAGCCAAGCCACTTTTCTGAGTTTTCCTCTTTACTCTTTCAAGTTTACATCCTCATGTGTTGATTAAAGTAGCCTTGAAAAGAAAGAAAGAGCGTGTAGTTATATCATCTCCTTACCTCTCTCTCTCACTTTTTTTTTTATTTTTTTATTTTTTTAAATTCAATCCTCTCTCTCTCTCTCTCTCTCTCTCTCTCTCTCTCTCTCTCTCTCTCTCTCTGTGTAGCTAGGCTATATGTTATTTTGCACTCTCTCTGCAATTACAGGCGGATGATTGTATATTTGTATACTTCTTCTATGCCATGATGAAAATCTCTGCCTTCGATCCCAAGGCTGTCAACCAGTTCTGAGAAGAGAAATCATATTAACCACGCTCTCTTTCTCTCTCTCAACCCCACATGTCCATGGATGATGGATATTTATACACACACACACACACATACACTCACATATACCCCATTTGGCACGGTCGGCATAATCAGCAAATAGGAGTTCTCTGCAGTGAACCACTCTTCAATGTCCAATGAATGCTATTTAGGCTCAAATTTCCCATCATTAGTTATAAAAAAAAATAAGTTTAAGGACCATATGTATCAATTCTATAAAAAAAAATATTGAATTTGACAATAGAAAGCTACTCTTATCACAGTTTGACAACATATAGTCCATACATCTTCAATTATGAGTATGTGTCTAAGCAATGTAAGTCAATATTAGCATATTATTGTGTATCTTGCGATATCAATTGCTTAAACATATGAAAATTATTAATTGTATGTAACTTATACATTGCGAAAATCATCACAAGATGTAAAATCGGAAAGCGATTATAATGTAATGTGAGGCTGTGAAGGCAAAAGAAAGTCACATGTTGGTGAAAAGAGAAACCTTGTAAGGGCTTATAAGAGGACTAGTCTCCGCGTATTTTCAATTGGTTTTATAGTGGGACCTCAACCTTTATGGTATTAGAGCAGGATGACCCACATGTAAAGCCTAATGGTCACACGTGCTCCACATCACCCTGTTTGTGTTATCCACGTGTTTGACTTGAAATTTGCCACACATGAGGGGGCATGTGAGGATGTGAAGGTATAAGAGTCCCACATTGGTGAAATGAGAAACCTTGCAAAGGATTATAAGAGGTTGGGCTACTCCATGTATTGTCAATTAGTTTTATGATGGAACCTCAACTTTCTTAAGATAATTCCTCTAGAAATTTTATGCATATGGTGATGGCGGATTGAGGATTAATTATTTAGAGTCATTCTCATATTTTGTGTGTTCATGTTGTGAACAAAGAAGTGAAGATGCAAGAATCAAATATAATTAATTGGGAATTTCATGAACCAACAATAGTAAGAAGAAGGTACCAATTACTGAATGTTCATATGGATTATGAGTTTGTATGTTATAGGAACAATTAAAATAGCTCATGATTGTCGAGGCAATCAATGTTGCTTAATAATAATTTTGCCCTTTGGTAAAACTATGTCTTTTGGGTTTTGAGTAATGCTAGGGAGATTAAATTTGTAAACACAATTTGCAAACTAAATGATATGTCACCAATAGGAATGAACGCGTTTATTAACTCTTAAGTACTAAATCAATCATCAACTTCCCATGTCCTTTAGTTTCTAAAATTTTATCAACTAATTTAGTCTCCCTAACATTACCCTTGAAATTTTGGTGGTAAACATCACTTCCATTAATTAACGTGCATATCTTGGCGGATGGTAATCTTCAAGAGGGACAAGAGAGGTCGATGATTGCAACCTTCCCTCTTTCTTTTTGGTGTTTGAGACGCACACGCAGACACAAATCTAGTAATTTGATTAGAAACATTGTGTGATCAACTAGCTAGCCTTTAGCTACGTTGAACGCAGATTTCTATCACAAGTAGTCCTAGCAAAGCCAAAGACATAGCTAGTGATGGCTTTCCACACTTTTGAATGAAATAGCTAAGATTTCTTTTTATCTTGACAACACTGATAGAAACGCACGTTGCATGTGGCCCTTTTGTGTTTATACGAATCAAATTAATTACAATTATAATCCTTAGATTATCCCCTTGGAATTAGCGTTAGATCAAGTAAAGAGGGAGTTCTGCCCCCGAGAATCCCTTCTTCAGAATAACTATGCGAATTTAGTTACTTTCTCAGTTCAACATTCTTGTTCTACCTTCTCGGATCTTCTTATAATTCTATAATGTTGCACAATGATATGAACCATATAGTTTCAAGGCCAATCTGTAAAGATCAACTCTGCTAATTAAATCAAATGTGAAATTCTCTAATCATCTAGCGGTTATGCAATAATAAACGAACCATGTTATTCAGTTAAACTTTAAAATTTTGACAAAATGGTAAAAAAAATTCTGATTAATTTTTTGCAAAAGTGATGTTTAATAAAAGGTCAAATAGAAAATAGCAGTTTAAATTATCGTGTAGCATGGAAAAATAAGAATAATAATATATCAGTAGCATATACCGTATATAGTTTATGGTTAGTGAAATGTGTACTGATGCTTGTCCCAAAAAGAGAATTTCATTTATGTGCAAGTTCAACGACAGTACAGTTGCTTCTAAGTTGTGGTCAATACGATTGGTCTCTACTTTTTAGCTTTTGTTCTTAGATTTTTTAAAGCAACTTTGTGTTGCATATGTATTGGAAGCTGAGTAGGTTAGACGAACATTGACGATCGATCACATCAGTTACAATTCAAAGATTTGTGCAGTTCTCTACAGATTGATATTAATTAGGATATTTATATGTATATAACTTCAGTGTGTATATACATAGAACGACAGAAGCTTGTCAATGTAATGAGCCAAAATTGGATACAGGTTAAATGCCACATTTAACTGGTAGATGCTAAATTGAATAAATATTATTTTCGCCATTCTCCGGCCCAAATCTTAGGTAGACGAAGCAAATGTGAGGTAGGCAGGGGCAGGCAATTCATTCATTATTCAAGAGCAGAACATTATCAAACTTCAAAATATATACATGTGTATGTTATATATTCAAAATACTTGTTTATGATGGTTGATCTAGATCAGCATATAAAAAAAGTGTAATCTAATTAATTGTTCAATCATATCTCCTAGCTGCTAGTGGCAAACAATTTCTCTAACCCAAAAACTCTTGCCAGACAAAATATAAATATTTGATGTACATGACTAATTGTCTGCTACTTTTCAAAATAACAATAAATTTGAGGTTATATCTCTGTACATGTAAGTGTGAACAGATGCAATATTAGATGTGTGTGTGTGTGTACTATCCGCAAGTGCATGTATGTGCAATGGGAAGAAAGAAAGCTAGCTGCTACTTCTTGTATCTGGGCCGAGCTAATTATTCAAGTACTGCAATGGGAGCTAGGTTGGCACTAGATTAGCCTCACTAATTAACCCAGAAAAAGGTGGGAAATGTTAACTATATATATGTGAACATGGATTATATTCTCCAACAATATTCAATATTTGTTTGAGCAGCTGACAGAGACATATATCTGAAGAATTAAAGAACAATTAAAGTATGATTAAGCTGTCATTCTCCTCCATCAAAGAAGTGGCTATATATTAATTAATAATTTAAGTGGTATTTGAAAAAAGAGTTATAAATATTAACAATTTTGATCAGCCCAACAAAAGTTCACATCAGACGAAAAAGGCGAATGTGAGATCAGAGAGCATGGGCAAGCTTAACTTTTCTTTTAGCCTTCCAGCAAGCATGCCCACCCATCTTACAAACTACATTAATTCAATTTATTTATTTCTCCAAAGTTCAAACTATTTTTTTGTTCTTTAAAGCTTTTCTTCTTTATCAAGAGCTTTTTCTTTCCCTCTTTCTTTCACTTGCTTGTCACCTTTTTTTTCTTCCCCAATTTCCTACTCTCACTATCTTCCAAGATTCATTTCGCTAAAGCTGCGTCTGCATCTGGTTTAAAATATAAATTTCAATTATTATTTTCACTTTCTTGATTCTTCAAAGATTCGTGCATCTTAATTATGATTAGGATTTTCATTCAAAGAACTATAATAAACACAATTCCTAAAAAGGTGATTCAAACTTGTTCTGCTCTTATTAGGAATAGTACTTGTTAATCTTTCAACCATGCATTCAAATAAGAATCCAACTAAACAACAATTTATTTAATTTTTTGGGAAAGAGGATATATAACATGTAATGCAATTTGGTATGAATATATATATATATATAACATAGAGGATTTCCATGCATGGAAATGTCAGTGTGTTGATATAGTAGTATCTCAAACTAATTATGATTTATTTGTAAAAGTTAAAACACATAACAGTATATGATTGGTTTAAAATACTACTATAATCGTGTCCTTTCATGAAAGTTTCTCTCTAGAATGAATACCCATACATATTGTTTTACAAATATTTAGAAATTCAATAATCTTAGTAATCATTTTCTCATCAACCCTAGTAATCATTCTCCAGCTTGAGGAAGATAATGCACATGTGGGAGAAGAAAAGCCACCGCCAAGAGCTAGTAAAATAAATTAACCAAACTATTGAAGTTAGCTTCGGTTGAAAGGTCTCTTCTCTACTTTCTTTAATGCATGTGCAAAGGAGTGAAGTTAATTATAACCACATCTGAAAAAGAACTGAAGGAAATTATAACCTCATCTGAAAAAGAAGAATTGAAGGAAATAGACTTCCTCAGTGGGTAAGGATGTGGACTACAATTTAAAAATGATAACAAGTATCTCCTTGTTACACTCATCCAAAATCCATTGTGTTCCATCCACAGATATAATTCGCAGCGTAAAAGGTTTGTATATTAGTTGATTAAGAGTATTATCCCTTGTAATTGAAATACTGAGTTCGAACTTTCTTGTTATTTTATCCGCAAATATAATTCTAAGTAACTATACCAATAACTGGATGCTCTCTCTACGCAGTACTGATATTTAAACCAAATTATCATATAAACAAAAAAAATGTCCATAGCCCGCTAAAAAACAAGTTGTTATATAATTAATAACTTTAGGGTTAGGGTCTATCAGGACCATCACCATCATTAATTAAACTAATTAAGCAGAAATAACAGGTCTTTTTGGAGTCCTTGCCAGTCAACGGAGTCACACACCACAGACCTTATCCAGTTGCCTTATATATTACAACCCTAGCTAAGTTATCGTAAGCTTTTCCAAATATCAATAATTTTTGTCTAATTACTTTAGTATAATTGGAACGTACACATAACACTATTTTTAATTGTGTTCAATTAGTTTCACTGTATTGTTTAATGTTTTATGGGACGAATATTAGAACCTTCTTAATTCAATCCTAATCACTAATTAATATCGAAGTCTTCAGCTTTACATTTCATTAAATTAGACCTATATATAATTGTTGAAATTACTGCCAAACCATAAAGGGTTCGATCTGCAATCTTTTGAAGAATTTTCTTGGTCTGGTTTACTGGCTGTGAAGATGGTAAAAGAACTCTTCGTAGCTCCAAAGTTCCAAACAAGAACACATTTGATTGGGAAATAAAGTCTCTCTTGACGTGAAGGTAAACATCAAATATATATACGTGTGAATAAAGTTGAAGAACAAGTATATTTTTTCTCTTTGCCCTTCACAAAAGAAGAAGATACATGATGAAACTTTCTTTTTATTTTTATATGTAGGAAACGATGCATTAGATAAATTTTAATCGTACATTAGAGACGTCTACGAGACATGAAGGATACTAACAAATTTAAGCATAACTCAAAATTAAGCTTATACAATCCACAATATCCAAACCATAAATTAACCTTAAACATATATATATAACTGCCAGTCTGTCATCACGAATCAAAGTTACATGCATAAAACTCACTGTATCCTGCTACGAGACATGAAGGGTATTAACAAATTTAATCATAACTCAAAACCAAGCTGATATACAATTCACAATATCCACGCTCTAAATTAACCCAAAACATTAACCGCCAGTATAACACCATGAATATTACATGCCCGGAAAACTCATTGTATCTCGCTATGAGGAAATTGTAACAATTGACGAGTCTTACGTGTTGATATTTGCCACATATATAATATACAACACTTGCATGTTTAGACACACTTTACAGCAAACTAGGGATTAATTAACAAGTCGTAATAATTAAGATAATTTTCGCTCTCTTTAATTTGCTCCAATTCTTTAACATGATCATTATTTGGTGATGCTATTTCCACTCGATTATAAAATGAACTTTTCAAGTCAAATATATGGCAAAAACCCTAAAAGTGGGTCTAAAGTTGCAGGATTTTAAAGGCGTGTCTTGAAAGATGACAAATAACTGGAACAGAAGAATATATGCTTGTCAAACTTAAATCCAACACTCAGGGGCCATCACTTTTATTTTAATTTCTCTGTCATTTGCTTTCTATCCCCACTGAACCCTAAATAATATTTCCTCATCAATTAATAAATCATTAATAAGGGTTTTGTTTTTTGCCACAAATCTCTATCTGTCACTAAAGGTTATTTTTGCTACCGACGATTAGACGGTTTTCTCTATCAATCTGAAAGGTTAGAACGTACTTGGTTTAACGTCAATAGAAAGTGATAATGAATCTCTCACTCACTTAACTTAAACTCCATACAGCCAAACTATTCCTCACAAATGTCCTTTGACTTTGGCCCCTTTTGCATCCACTATACCTAATCAACCACGTTCGAAATGGTTTTAACTTAATTTGGTACTTAACATGTTCTTTCAATTACTAGATTCAATTGCCACATAAGAACATACCAAGTTGATCAGTGCCCATGCTTTTTCCAAAGTTGCACGTGTATATGAATGAACCTCAACATCTGCAAAAGAGACTGTGACCATGAAGTGATCAGTGATCACACCTGTACTTATCTACGAAAATATAAATAAACAGAAGTGTACATAAAAAAAATACATGTGCAAAAATCTTATCCATCAAGTAAAAGGATATGTCTTTCAATTATTTGTGACCACAGAATAACCTCATTGGTCCCATTTGATTGCCACGTACTTACTTTGGGCATTTGCCTTTAAAGTAGCTGAAAAAAGAAGTAGAAAGTCTAATTCGAAAATGAAAAAACAAGAAAAAGTATAATTCGAAGAGAAATGAGCAGTCATTGTTCCAAAACTAAAACGGGCCGAACTTCAAAAGGAGATATCGGGCTTTTATTTCCTCTCTCGGAAGGCCCAATAATTACCACATCTTCGAAGCCTAATTTCTCGATAAAACCGTGTTATTTACTTATTTTTGTTAATTACAAGAGAGAGAGGATCCGATCCCGCTGTACGATTATAGCATCAGATAGAAGATAATAATTATCGAATTTAAAATTAAGTACTAGAATAATTATCTTTTTTTACAAACGACAGCATTAACGGGTTAAATAGTTAGTTGTGAGGGAGTACGAGAGTCAGTGGAGTAAAAGGTGCATATGCACCATTGCTTTCCGCCACTACGGTAAATGTAGATACAAAATTTTGACAAAAAATTACTTACAAAATAAGAAAAATCGAATTTCTAACCAAAGAAGTACACTCTCAAATATTAGCACCATGCACAAAGGAAGATGCCTGTAATTGCATGAAAAAAACTCACCACCTTTGTTTCTTCCTTGCGGACGTACCTTTTAGCTCCACTCCATTTTCAAGCTCATTTTCTATCCAGGCTTCAGGATCTTTCTCATCATCTATGGCATGCACATTCTTATTTACATCTTTATCGCGCCTTCTCCTCTTCATAGCATCTCTAATCCGGTCAATATCAATCTTACTTCCGTTAGTTTGCGCAGAACAATGTCGTTCCCACCTCCCTCGTCAATACTGCTTGGCTTTCTAGGCAGTGTTTCAGCTGCAATGACTCTTCCATTCTCTGGCGGTAGATTTTTTTGTCTGGCCCCATCATCCGCAGAATGACCTCTGAGAAATTGAATATAAGTTACAGACATTTCCCCAAAAAGGAAACCATATAAGATTTCAAGTAACGATGTATAAATCGAATGGAGGCACTGAGAGGGAAACTAACACTATATCCAACAACCATGTATATTTGTTGAGGAAATACAATAAACTCATTAATCAAAATACGAACCATACGCAAAGCATACTATGTGAAGATATCAGCAAATGACTTTAGTACAAACATCAAAGGACTTGCAACGCACCATTCAACTGCTTTGGCGAAACATCGAACTCTCCAGCCACCGTACTTTTCCCTGTTGTGTAGGTAGTTGTAAAACTTAGGAACTCAGGTGTTTCACTTTAGTTGCATACCCAAATAACTGTGGATTGCATGTATTTATATAATACTTTGAAGATTACATCGTGGGTTTGAAAACCCAAATTACAAGGAACTTTGAATTTGAAAAATACAAACAGAAAGATGAAAAGATTACAAACAAATTACAAATAAAATACATTTGAAAAACAGATCCTACAAACATGAAAAAACCAACGGGATAAGAGTTTGAAGTACATCCAAACTCCTCAAGTTCCCCAGAGATTAGCTAAGTGTTGACTTCGTCTAACAGTAGTTTCACTTTTTGAATTTTGGCAGCAAGAGCCACTGAACCAGCTGCAGTAAAATGGGGCTTGTACTGCAAGCGCAGTTATGTAAACGACAAACGTAACATCTAATTACGCTTCAGCGCTAAATTACGTATACAAAGCCCCTATGAGAAATTAAACAATGCTCACCAGTCATTAACAAAATTCAATGCCACCTGAGCAAGGTCGGGGAGAATATTTCAAGATCAAAACCAATTGTTGCCAGAACAAGTCTCTCCCCAGCCACAATCAATTAAACTCGTAACACGACACGACACGGATGAACCGACATTGTTTTTAAGCATCTGAATCTCAAAAATTAATTAACCTATAAAATAACAGCAAGGTGAAATTTTACTTAATCATTCTTCACCTAACAATAATAAACTACAAAATTTTGAAAATTAATTACAATTAGTTTTCAAAAGAAGAACAAAAATACAAACCTAAACCCAGTTATAATTTCAATTTACTGTTTCACCCAAAAACAAAGCAGTAAAAATTGAAGATTTTCATGCCAATAAAGTGATTAAATCACAGTAAAGAGTGTACCTTTACAGGAAAAACAGCATTCAGAAACAATGCAAATTAAAAAAAAATCGAAAATTTGAAAGAGCAAAAACGCTAACCCGAAAACCACGATTCGAAATCTCGCAGCCGAACGGAAAACTTCGAGAGACCAGAGTAGATAAACAAGCAATCTCGTACCAAGAAATTCCTAGGTTTCCTGGGGTTTTGACGAAAACGAGGAAACAGCGACGGCGAAAAGAGGGAAGGCGGAAAGCTCACTGCAGTCTGCCGCGTCGGTGCGTGTTACCAAAGGAGGAAATCGGAAACGCAGGAATTGCTGTGTCCCCTCCCGTTAACTATTTCGGTCTACGTCGACTTTCTTTCTTTGCAAGCACGCATCGCGTGTTCACCCGCGCGCTTAACTGGCACGTGGTTTCTACCATCCGCGTACTTGAATCTTGCGAAGTCAACTCAAATTTTAGTATGATAATTACTGGTTCGTTTGGAAGTGTTTTTTGTTGAAGTCTAAATTTTTTAGAATAAAAGGTCATAGGGGTGAGTTCGGTTCAATCAATATTTTTCTCGGTTTTTTTCGGTTCTGTTTCGGTTTTTTTTCAAAAAATGAAAATTTTTGAAATCTTAAATTTTAACATATCCAACACAATCATAACATAAATATTCCGACTAGACTTAAAGATAATGAAAATAAACATTTAAAGTTCAACTAGAATTAAAACATAAAGATTTTTTTAAATATTTTGGGTTTAAAGTTTAACTGTAAATAGATTTCTTTTTAGACGATGATGATGGAGTACGACCTTATTCATTTCTCTCTTTCTCTCAATCTCTCTCTCTCTCTATATACATGTATTCTTCACTAGCAATAAGATAAACATTCTATAATATACTATTTATTTTGGTTATTGTCTAGGTAACAATTTTTTATATTTTCTTTATCTTTATGGTCCGAATTTTTTTTATCCATATATGTGGTTACATAATATAATTTCTACATTCTGTGTTCAGCTTCTACCACCAGCAAATTTTGAAGAGGTGTTCATCAATATTTTTGAATATATTGATATACTTTTCAAAATTGTTAAGCCAAGGAAGCTACTATACTTGGCCATAGGTGAGAAAGTTTGAATTTTGTTTTTGATCTCGTAGTGTTTAATAAACCTATGAGACTTTTATACGCTGTTTGCTTTCCCTAATCAACTGCAGTGCAGTTAAGATATGTGTTCTTATATATGTGTTGCACTTAATGATATAAACTAGAAATATTGCATGTAATGGTATAAGTTCTAATTTTTGTTTTAGATGGAGAAGCTAAGAAGACAATTTGAATTGGAAAGCAAACAAGTGTTACCAAAGCAGCAGTCCGAAGTATCATATTCTAATATAATAAAATCAAATAATTAAATAAATAAAATTAAAAAAATATTAATTTAATTATTTCGGTTCGGTTCGGTTTGGTTCGGTTCGGTTTTTTCAATTCGGTTCGGTTTTTTCGTTCGGTTCGGTTTTTTCGGTTTCGGTTCGGTTTGGTTTTCGGTTTTTTTCGATTTTCGGTTTTTTGAACCCACCCCTCATCCCAAGGTCTGATCGTCATACAAGCCATTAGTCAAACTTAAATACGTGCAAATGTGCATAATTGAGAAATATTCACAATGATGTCACGCTATAATAAATGAACCAGACGTTTGTACAACTCACACTATGCCCATGCACATTCATCGTGCCAAGCTCTATCACGCTAACTACTATTCGCGTTAAGATATGGGAGCTAATTTTGCAAATAATTACTTTGCTTATAATGACTTTTTAATTGGATTGGAGAAGTGGGGGCATATTGTACGCCCTAATACACACCCCCTCCTGCTAGCTTTAAGCCCCTCACCAAACCCACCCCACCCCCACAAGCAAGTGGCCTGAAAATTCCGTGTCTCTTCCTAACTTCAGCTATATATGCGTGTGCTGAAACTCAGAGTTACAAGCATAACATTCTCAGTTTTTCATCAAACTGTTATTTTACATTCTCTCCCTAAATTCATTGGAAACGGCATTTGAAATGCTATTTGATGCTGTAAAATCAGTGCAGGAGGAGACTACAATGTTCAAGCACCTCCTCGGAGACATTAAATCTGCACTGGACTCTCTACAGCCACCCATCAAAGACATCGAAAAATATAACTCGAAAGAGGGACTGGAATATTTTGCAATACAAATAGAGGAGGGAGCAAATCTTGTTCAATAGTGCAGCAAAGTTGGCGTGTGGAGAAAATACAAATACACCAACAAGCTTCGTCAACTGGAGCTTCAAATCACTTCGAAGAGTTTTTGATGCGCTCAAAGTGCAGGGCATAAGGGATGCGAGGCTCAAAGTGCAGGGTATAAGTGCGTAATTAATTGTCTCAACTTTTAATTTGTATTTGTTAAAACTGAAAAAAACTAATGTCGTGTTCTTTGTTTTTTTAAGGTCCAGTTGATGAAGCTTCTTGGCGTATTTGTATTTTCTCCAAACGCCAACTTCGCTGCACTATCGAACAAGATTTGCTCCCTCCTCCATTTGTATTGCAAAATATTCCAGTCCCTCTTTCGAGTTATATTTTTCGATATCTTTGATGAGTGCCTGTAGAGAGTGATTTTATAGCATCAAACAACATTTGAAATGCCGTTCTCAGAGACTCAAAACTTAATTTTCTCGTACCTAATCTTAATTTTCTCTTATGTAATCTGTTATTGGCTGATGAAAGAACAACAGAAATTTCAATGAGAAATATTGATAACTGCCACTTTTTTACCACAAGAAATTTAGTCTACCTTTTACAATTCTTGCATATCTAACCAAATGTCTCTTTGAAGTTTCAAAAATACCCTTGAATTACTAATTACCCTCTCTTACTCCTCCCTTTTCTTTTCAAAAATACCCTAATCAAATTTCATCGAACTGATATTATTTCGATAGATTACCATCATGAGAAAGACGATGGACCATGTAGAGTCAAGAAGAACAAGAGAAACATCATCGTAGAACATGTAAATAGAAATGTATATATACATTTCTACTATTTCGGAGGTGGACTCCGTTGGTCGTAAAGAGACAAAAAATAAATGAGATCTCAAATTTACATCCCGAAAATGCACTTATTAAAAAGGCCAAATTGGATTATTCATCCCTTTGGTCATAAGAAACTTGCATGATGACCCCCGTGGTGAAAAAACTAGGAATTAAACCTCTGTGGTCAAGAATGTTAGCAAATTTAGTCCAAAAGTAAGATTTCTGTTAAATGACTGTTAAAAGTATAGGTAAAACTGTATTTTCAGTTCCAATTGACATTTAAAATAAATAATTTTTTTATAACAATTAACAAAAAAAAATTATGCTTAATTTTTTAAATAAAAAAAAGCGCTAATTCAATGTCAATTGGAACTGAAAATACAGTTTTACCCCAACTTTTAATAGTCATTTAACAGAAATCTTACTTTTGGACTAAATTTGCTAACATTCTAGACCACAGGGGTTTAATTCCTACTTTTTTCACCACGGGGATCATCATGCAAGTGTCCTATGACCATAGGGATGAACAATCCAATTTAGCCTATTAAAAATATACTAGAAAAAAAAATATTAATGAACTACTCGAAAATTACAAAATTATCACTAAAAATACTAGCGCTAATCATGAGATTAAAATCATACTTCAGACCGATATTACACGCAAAACCTCTTTTAGTCTCGTTACTAATTGTCATATGCTATAACTCTTTCTTAATTTTCACGTATGCTTTATTTAATATAAAGCTTATAATTCGCTATGTTTATTGTTTTTTAGCGCAATACCAAACAAACATGCATATTTAGCGTTGGTGTAGTAAACTCACTTAAATTATACCCAATTGGAATGGTGGCAACAAACATTGCAAGTGTCCATGGAAATTATTACCACATAATATTCCTCTTTTGGAGTCTTTGTAATAATTAAGCCAAGCTTAGATTAATATTAGATGTTTCGAGATTTAATTAAACAAGATTTACACTGACCTAAAGTTAGGGGTTCAAGACAATGGGTTGGTCGCACATCTCCATTCCATATTTGACCCAAATCAAAGGCATACCTTTAACCTTTTGACCTTTTTGCCTTCCACTTGCATAGGATGAGGTCAAAGTAAAACGACAAGCGTTCATAGTTAGAATTTGCAGAGAAATTTCGGTAAAGCCATATAATTAGGGTACCCTACACATTATGGAACCATCACCATGAATCCATGATAAGTTAAAAGTGAGATTAAAAGACAGAATATTTTATGATGATGTGAGAATTGAGAAGTGTCATACAAGCAACATAAACGGTCCAGTAAAATGTAGGTAGTCTTAATGTAACATTATTGGTATTGTTCACTTTTAACGTTAAGAATATTTTTACTCTAAAAAATCACTTATAGTACTATTCACTTACAATATTTTTTTGTCCCTTTGAATTTTGATTAAAACTAAAAAATTTCAAACTCTTTTCATTAGTTTTCCTTAAAATGCACTATTGGGGAAATATTACATAAAAGTTACCAGGGGGCCCCCATTCACTCAAACTAGGTCCTTTTCAATGGGAGATTTTTCAGTGTAACGGTACACGGGATGGTATACTACGTGTCACAGTAAAAATAGTGAGATATGTGTGTTAAAAATTTAATAACTTAAAAAAATAAAATTTTCCACTACTTCTATTAAAATACATGATGTACCACTTGTGTTCCCTTCAGAATGAAAAATTTCTCCTTCTCAGCCGCAAATTCAGACCCTTCTCAGCCAATCTCGGGTGTTTCCACCGTTTCATGCCAATAAAATGATTAATCACAGTCATAGATTTAAATATCGATATTATCGGCGAAATATCGCCGATAATATCGATTTTTCGGGGAATGGATATTTAAATAGGTATCAGTGTGATTTTCGTCAAAATATCGTGATATTATCGATAATATCGCGATATTTTAGAAATATCGCGACATTTTTTGGAACTGTGCAATCGGACTCCGAGAAGAACGCCGGAGATGGTGTGCCTATTCCCGAGCCGATTTCGTCCCAAAAACCTTGCAAAAACACGATTTTTAACATCAATTTCACATATAAACTTCAGATTTCACGCATGCAAGAGGTAATCAACATAGGGTTTAGTCGGATCTCACCTGAAAACTTGGGTGTGCCTGGGTGTGGGTGCGATCGGGGAAGCCGAGCTTCCTCTGCGCGTCGCCGTGCTTCCCAGAGACGGAGGAGAGGGAGGGAGAGGGAGGGAGGGTGGTGGAGATGCTGCGCTGGCATCGGGGTGGACGGATTTGGGTGTGCCTGGGTGTGGGTGCGATCGGGGAAGCCGAGCTTCCTCTGCGCGTCGCCGTGCTTCCCA